AGAGTTTAAAAATTCAGTGTGGCCTGCTTCTTGAAAACTGAGTCTCTTGAATTTCTGTAGCTCTCTGTAGTCCATTTACTATTTTCAGTTCTCTTCCTGAAGAGCAAAGAACTGAAGTGTGACCTTTTTACTCACTTTAAATCTGACCTAGAAATGCACAACTGAAATTTAACAGACTGATCCTTAATCTGAGGACAGGTATGAGATGACCCACTCGTTCTGCAGAATGATCAGCCCATGCATGTAAAAGTATAGCCAGGTCTGGTGCTTAGTTTTAGAAGTGGAATTCAGTTCTCTGCTTTGCATGATCCTGGGCTAATCTCAGTGGCCATCTGTATGGGGGGCGGTGGGATAAGGGCATTTCCCCACCCTACAGAGCTGATACAAGGCTGTCCTCAAAACTGTGGCTCATTATGGATTGTGAGGAGCATGAGGCTAAATAATTAAATACCTAAAAGTCTCCCAGCTTTTCTATTAATTTCTATGCTTGGTGAGAAACCAGAAGGAACACTATGACATCCTGCATAGCCAAGTTCCTCCTTTCTTTCTGCCAGTACTGATGGACCCCCTTAGATTAGTTTCATAGCAAGTTTATCTTTTTATCAGATTTCACAGTCTGATTTTGCACAGTATACCTGGTTTTTTTTTCCATACCAGATACTGAGCAAGAGACCATAATCCCAAACTTCCTCCACATAATGGTGAAATCCCCCCTCCACTTGACAATATTTAACTGCACCCAAAAGACTTTTCATCCCCACTGTCTACTACCATTCCAAAAGCTACACTATCACTTACTGTTAGAAATTATAATCAAACTTGTCAGGGCCAGATCAAAAAGTAGAGTGAATATTGTACATTCAGTGTCACCAACAGGAGCAAAATGCTATCAAAACAACTTTATTTTCCACCTAATCATCAAGAAATAAATGCTGCATCTCACATGCAGCTTGACTAGATGAATAAGTAGCAACAAGTCTTTTGGTGTTCTTTACTAAAGAATACTGAATATTTTTCTTTTAGAAACAAATTGAAACAATTCCCCATCAAAACCAAAGAAATGCTTTTTGCATGTTTCAGTGTGACCTTTTTCATACCATTTTCCTTTTGATGGATTTTGAATATAATATTCTGTGAATAGTGACCAGTGTTAGTAGTAATAGAGGTAAGAACAAACACCTGATTATTAGGTGGCTCTGTTGTTACTTCTGAGTCTTAATTCTGGTTTGAGAGGGCTGACTTGTGAAGCTGACTCCTTCAGGATTTAGCTCATAAAGGATCAGTGACTTCTAGCATGCTCTTGAGTAGCAACAAGGGAAAAACCTGGAGTTGCTAGCTGCTATCTCATCTTTTTACTTCAGGCAGCACTGGGAAACACTGCAAGGCAGAATTTATCACTGGGGACAATGGATCAAGAGGGCTGAAATTAGAAAAGACATTTTGGCTGCTTTCAGTTCAAGTGGAAGTATTATGAAAAAGTGTTCCGAATTATGTCACACGGGGCAAATGTCACTGCAGTTAGTAAGAACTTACTGTGCCAGCAAATGTCAGGACAAATTACACAGCAGGACAGGCAAGCTGTATGTCACATTCACTTCCAAAAGGAAAAGGCTTCCCCTCACTGCCAAGAACCTGCTCCCATTTCCAAGCTGATTTAAATCAAATCGCTCTTATTCAAATCAAAACAGCATAGATGGAGTACTAAAGTGACTCAATGTGCAGTTCTTCGGATCCTTCCCCATTTCCGTGGATGAAAGGCTTTGACTCTCCACCACCTTAAACACCATCAGCTCAAGGCTACAGAGTTGTATATGTAAATGGCTGCCTGCAGGTTCCTGAAGGCACTGCTTACTATGCCAATGAAAAATGTCTCACTGTCCCTATGCTCCTGGGTCATACCCATCTAATCTTTCTTGCCTCTTTGATCATATATTCTTTGCAGAAAGATGCATTTGCAATTTACATGGGACCCAACACGGTATGCAGAACAACTAAGGCCACATCAAGGCCTGGGCATTACTGGAAAAGTGGAACATAAAATTCAGTGCACGAGAAAGGAGAAAGACAGGACTAAGTCATTAGCAAAATCTTTATTTCTTAAATTTAAGTATAAGGAAGTCTTCCACTGGATTGCAAACTCCTAGCAAAGTGAAGTCATTTTGATTCAGCTATCCTTATTTTAAAACCAAATGTTTCAATTAAAAATTACCAGTGCTTCAATATGGAGAAAAAACATGTCCTTATGTTCTACAGAGGAAACAAACAAACAAAAAACCCACAACAAAACTAGAGTTACAAAATAGTTGGATGAGTTAAAGAAAATATTTATTCCATTTTTAACTTTTCTAATCTAGGACTTTTCAGAGCTTTTCATGTTTTCATTTTCATGAAATGAATATTAAATGCAACTCACATAGCTTCTTGTAATATTGGAATATCTGTGTTGGGTATAAACCAGAAGGTCATTTGTTCCTTCAGTTTCTAAGCTTTGGTGTTTCAATCATTTCTTAGCCAAAACCGGATAAACAAAGCCAAAAGGCTATCAAGAATAATGCCCACAAATAAATCACAATTTAAAAGCCCAGGAATTCAAAGTCTGGATTCAATTTAAGCCACTATTACCTCCAGTTATTTTTTTCTATCCAACAGCTGCAGCCTACCATCAAGAATCACTATACAACATATACTACATAAACTATACCAAATATACTATACCAATACCAATAGTAGATCATCTCAGGTGCCTTAAAGCAAGGAGTGCACAGCACTGAAGAGCAATGAAGTTTTAGGTGAAGATCAAGATGGTTCACAGAGGTAGCTGAATTGCAAGCTCACATTTCCACACAGCAAGACTGCAGGGACAACAACCTTTGGCAAATGAAAAGTAACAAAGCAACTCTGGGGCTCTAACAACATTTCTGCTGTGAAGCAGCACCAATAAATCCAGTTAACTAAGACATTGCAGAATACTCTGACCCTGTACATTTTTCTTAGCCACTAGTACAAGTCCTTTTCAGATACTCAGATACTCAATTTGTGTGCAACTCTGTCATTGACTGGTGTTCTGAATGGCTGGGCTTGAGCTATGTCTGTGTAAGCACAATTTGCCTCCATGTGTTCAGCCTGTATCCCCAGAATGGCTGCTGCAAGAATGCAAATCCTATTTGGAAGGATTACTTGCCACGCAACAGCCAGAGGCCCTGTCCGTGGCTGGGCTCCCTGCTGTGCCAAGAAGCACAAACTCAGGAAGCTCTGATCCAGAGAAGGACATGATTAAAGCAGGCAAGGTGGCACAGGAAATGGCATTGTCCCTCCACACAGGCAGAACCAAAGCTGCCACTCCCCACCCCTCTGAATACACCTGTGTAAACCTGTTCAAACAAGAAAGCAAAGACCAGGAGGCATTTGTGCTTGTGGGAGCTGGCAACAACTGGTGGCAATACAGATTCCACTGGGGCACTTGAGTGTGGACACCAGGGGTTACACAACCATCTGGAAGAAGAAATAAAACTCTCTAGAGAAATGTCTGCTCTCTAGACCAGATCCCACAGTTTTTTATGATCCATGTACATTCCTTCCTAACAAGAGTTGTGGAAAATTACTGGAATGTCCCAAGTACTCAAGAGTTTGAATGTGTTTTTCCTTTCAAGTTGTATCTGTTATTGCTTATCTTTGCATTTTCTGAATACTTTATACATGTCATTCCTGTTATTTCAGTATGCAAGGGAACCCCCCACACCACCACCACCATATCGGCAGGATGCAGTGCCACAGTCTGTTACATTCCCCACCTAAGGATCTCTTCAATTTTGTTCTTCCACAAAAGAAGGAGACTGGTTATCTCACACTTGTGGAAATGGCAGACTGATAACACTGGTGGTCATATTTCCATACAGAATAGAAGCAATGGCAGAGGGCTGCACAGGATTGCTCCCTTATCATTTAATACTGGCTGGGGAAAATGGAGAAATTAAGTGTTACACTGACTTGAGCTGAAGGTCTTCTCTTCAGCCTCTCCAGGTTAAAGCAGAGACACAGTTGCAGCTGCCTCTTTTTCCAACTGCTTAGCTGCCTGATTTGAGCTCTTGAGTAACACAGAGCTGGTATGGTTTTGCATTTGCTTTGTAGCAAACTTGCTTTGATCCAAATTGTTAAAATATGAAGTCTCACATAGCCACTCTGCAGACACGCAGAACTACATAATCTCAAAAATGAGAAATTTTACTTTAAAACAAGTTCAGTTCATGTATTTCTCAAGTGTATTTCTCAAGTGTTTCTACCAGTTTCAAATAGATTTTTGAAAATCTGCATTTTGTACCTTCCTTGAAAACAGCTCAGTAAAGGAAACATTCAGAGTAAGTGAGAGTACATCTGGGCATCAGGAAAAAGATGCCCAGCAAATCTATCAAGCTCTCCACCACCTTTAGCTTAGACCAGTAAATAATCATTTTTACTGGTAGGGGAAAAAAAGGAAAATCAAGCAGTTTTGTAAATAATCTATATAACAAAGTAAAACACTAAAAGTGTACAAAGAAAATGTCACAACTTGCATCTCCAGTCAGAGACGTTTTCTGGCATATACTTTAGAGACTTTTTCTCCTGATTAGCTGCTACCCAGGTTTTAAATCTACTTCAATCTACAGCAATTAATAAGCACATAAAAAAAGGTGCCTTAGGTGAGCAGGAAGATCTTCTATTAGCACATGCTAAAAATAGACAACCTATAGAGCTATCTGAACTGATACTTCATATAATAAAACTTTGAATTTTACAGGCTCTAAGGATCTAAATTTATCATTGGGTTTTGAAACTTTAGGCTTTTTTGGGTATGCATATCATCCATTTATGTTATTAATAACTGGCCACAGTTATTAGCAGTCAGCCACTAGGCTGAATAAGCTTTGGAGAGCACCTCCACTACCATCTTGGGCAGTGCCACAAAAGAGAGCTACGCCACACTGAAGAGACACAACCAGCAGAGAAATCCATTTGTGCCTTACCTTGTAAGGGGAAGAGCAGATGCCTTCAAACATATCTATATCCATACAGTCCATTGGTTCAGATCTTCCTGGTGATCAAAACTCTTCCAGCTTCTTGCTTTCTTATTTTTTAATTTGCCAGCTAGTGCAACCTGTAAATTTACAGAAGTGGGTGTGTTATTCCAAGATGTTTATTCATCTCAATTTATAAGGTATTCATTTTAAATACATGTGGCTCTGTGCCATGTGGCTCCTATTGCTCTCCAGAGCTTTCAGGGTAATGGATTACAGACCACATTGTTTCTGTAGGTTATTGATTTTTGGATGTATAAGTAGAAGACTCTTTAGGATTTCTTTGCAGGCTCAGACTTTCCAGACTGTCATATTCCATATGTGTATATCCTACAGATTTCACAACGTGTTCCTAAATTTATGAAATTCCAACACTTAACAAAAAACATGACACAACTTGCATCTCTGAATTGTCAATTTCTTTGTCAATTTATCTGTTAAAGGCTGATTCTTGTGGAAAGACACTAAATTCAATTTAAATACTAGTTGCAGAATAAGAATGCTATTAATCTGAGAAACTGGAGGATGACAGAATGGCTGAGATTTATATTCAGCAATAAAGGTAATAAAAAAGAATAAACCTTCCCAAAAAGTTACCCTAGCCACTGTTCAATGGATTTTAGGAACAAAATGAATTAGTGGGACAGTAGGAAAATTCAGTCAAATATTTTTTTTAGCTACTCAAGGAGTCACAGTGAGATTCCTCAAATGTATCCAGAGCTGCAGTGCCTTTCAGGTATCTAAATTTGGTCATCTGAATCAAAAGGACCTCTGAAAACCAAGCAACAAGTTCTCTGCTTATATAATTTTCCTCTGTGAAAGCTATGAGGGAGTCACTTATATGTTCTTGACTCCCCACAGCAGATCATTCAGCATAAAGAGTGTTACCTCTGCACCTGACACCCCTCCCCAGTATCTTGATCCCTATATGCACATTTTCATGGTGGATTTTACAAAAAACATATTGCAGTTTTCATGAAAGTTCAATTAAACAACGGAGTGTTTGTTTACTGGCAGACAGGCAGCCCGTGTTAGCTCAAGAGCTGCTTTGCTGGGCTGTATTCAACTACTCAAACAACAGTTTCATTATGAGATTTCACCAGACACCCCTGGCTCCAGCACCATGGCACAGAAAATGGGATGCATATTTGCTGCTTTCCACATTTTGGCTCCTGCTGCCCCAAAGCCATCCCTGCTCTCCACAGAAATTGTTTATGAGTATTTCAAAGGTTAGTATAGCTTTGTGTATATGTAGTTCATAGTATACACATCCTCTGTAGGTTACTCTCCCCCTCCCTTTTTTATTATGGAAAATTGAAACTTAATTCACTTCAGTCAGAATGTCTCAAGATCCTAAATGTTGACACTTTACACTATGTGAGCTACTTGTAGCCTTACATCCTGATGTAAATTCTCACCATGAAAGGTGGCACACAAAGCCACCCCATTCCTGCATGTCACACACTGATGGCACATGTTACATCTGGTTTGATTGCTATTCAAACCTGAAACTCTTGATGGAGCCAGAAAAAGCCTTGATCCTGGGATGTGTTTTAAGGGATCTGTGCCTCTGTCTTGATGCAGACAGATCTCAGACCTGAAAGGTCACACACAATTACTCAAGAAGCCTTGATTTTGAATCTCCAAAAAATAACATTACACAACATTTTACTCCCAACAAGTTTCGGGACTTGGTTTCTGTGAAGTAAAAGGTTTGTCCTTCAGGCGTACTGGATAAAATGACAGTCATGACCTTACATGGGGAAAAAATACAGCACACACTCTTGCAAATTAAGCACCACAATGCAAACTGCTAGGAAAAAAACCTGAAAATGCCATACTATGCAGGTTATCTGAACATTTGCAGACTATATTTGTATTCAACTCATGATTTTGGACCTCTCTAATTAGAAGAAATCCACCTTCTTCATGACAGTGGAGCATGTTGAGACCAGCAAGAGGAAGAAGCTTGCATTGCAATTCCACTATATATTACAATTGCTGCACCATGCTTGTGCTGTGATTTTGGCGTAATACTGCGTTACTCTTTCAGAATACAAATCCAACATAATGCCAAATACATTATAAATAAATACTTGTACTTTATACTTATACTTTATTTCACATAAGTAAATCTGGTCTTAGCACATTAAACCCTCCTGCAATTTCAGACCAGTTGGATGGACCAGGGCCTGTAGGTCAGGAGGGGCAACCAGCAAGTCTTTTTGTGATCAGTCTCTATTTCCCTGTAACACCAAGGAGTCCTAAAGCAAGCAGGTGAGTGGCTGCTGTCCTTTGAATGGTGGGTCAAAGAGGAGCTTCACCAAAACATGGACTATGACCACTCGACTTGGCAGAAAGAAGCAGCAGATCAAGAAAAGAGACATCTGAGACACAGGCCTTGTGTCTCAGAGGCATGTGCCTGGATGAAAGTAAAGAGAATTTTGATGGCATTGTTCTAACACATTACCATGGATCACACCTCTGGTGACTTTGAAAAGGAAAACCATATTTTTGTTTCTTGGGTGACTTTCAATCTTCTCGAAGAAAAAACCAAAAGTACAAAGGGTGGACAGATACTTCTCCATTGATTTTGAGTGACCCATTTACAGTGGATGTGCAGAATGGACTAATGATAAGTCCAACCTGCAACTACTTCTGAGCTAGGAAAGACTCCCAGTTTGCCTGTGTGATTTCCAAACACCAAGGAATTCTATGCTCCAGTGTATATGTGTTATGAAACACCAGAATCAACCTTATTGCACAACCTCCATTTTACGACCACCATAAAGGACTCCTAAATGCAGTCCTGCACCATCTACTCTAGAGAACTATCACTGCATTAAAATATGAATGCCAGTGATCCTTTAAGTGACCACAGAAGGCTTCTCTCACCTGTGTCTTCCATAACTAAGATATCGTACTGCTGGTTTCTCATAAAATATTGTTGTTCCTTTAGGCATCATGATGTTTTACTGAAAGGCCATTCCTGGAAAAGTCTGCTTTAATAGGCTTGATAAGGCAAAGTGAGCTGCCCAGCCAAACCTTTTATTAAATCACACCAAAACTGCCTGAATTTATGCCATTGCAAAAAGGCTGTTGGAAATTCCTGTCTGCCCTGGAAGCGTATGTACCAACCTCAGAGAAAAAACTCACACATCCTTGTTGATTCATACTAATGTCATTGTTTACAACGACAGGATGCATTAAATCCTGCTTCAATTACCAGGCATAAAAGCACTTGTGGATTGACATGTGGTCTTGCCTCAATAGCACCAGAATGGGGCTGAGGTAAAGCAGCCTGCTGCAACCAGCATAATGTCTCCAGATGCCTGCATTCTTCTGCACACTCCCACTCAGCTCCTACTCTTTTCCCTACTCTTTTCCTACTCTTTTCTTGTCATTTTCTCTTCTTCCCACCTTTCTGTTTAGCCCTCCCTCTCCATTTGTGCTAGCAGAGATTGGAGGGCAACTGGCTAGCTAAATGAATTTGCAGAGCAAGACCTGGGACTCTCAGTGGACAAGCTGACCACAGACAAGGAGCATGCCCATGTGACAAAGATGGGACAGCAAAGAAGAGAGAGACAAGCTCTCCTCAGGGGCCCACTGAAAGAACAGGATGAAACAGGCACAACTGAAAACACAAGCAACTGCATTTAAACAGAAGAAAACTCTCACTGTGAGGTTGGTCCAACACACATATGGGTGACCCAGAGAGGCAGTGGAGACTGCCTCAGAGACTGGAGACATTCAAAACTCAGCTGCACACAGTCTTGTGCAACCTGCTCCAGATGTTTTGAGCAAAGGGTTGCCTACACAACCTCCAGAGGTCCCTGCAACCTCAGCAGCTCTACAACCCTGTAAACAGAGCCTTGTTCCCAAATTTACTTAACTCTTTTTTTTTTTTTTTTTTTTTAAATAGGCTCACCATAGTAAGTTACTGACCTGGCCAAATTAAAAAGTTGATCCTGAACAGTGGTACAAGAATTTCAGTTGAGGTCTCCACATTTCACAGATGGAATGGACCAATGCAAAAATGACTTTGAAAATGCACCCAGATGTTAGAGATGCTTCTTACTCTAAGAATTGTGCAGCTGCTTTTATGCTTCTCTCAGAAGAAAAGCTCCAGTGGTCACTGCTGCCTGCAGCAAGATCAGTACTCCTACTTTCAGCATTTAATGCATTAGCCACTTGTAAAATTACATTTATGTCTTGCCCTTTATATCACGCTCCCAAATGGTGACTGCCAAGGCAATTTTTAGCAAATCTTTCCCTCAGTCTCCCAGCCCATTGAATAAGACCTGCTTTTCTGATGCAGAAGAATGAAGAGAAAGCATAGATAATTCATTGCCATAATAAAGAACAAGTTAGACCCTTACCCATATCCAGAGAGTTTTTCAAAGGAAAACTGGCAAGCATGCCAGCTCATACACTTCTTTCAGGGAATGCTATCAGCAAACCAAAGGTCACAATGAGTGTTTTACCTATGGATTACATATACCATCATCAGTGGCAAGGATTACTCAGTATCAAGAAGAGATGTATCATGTTCTTGCCCAAAGAGATGTCTAAGTGTTCTGCATAATTCATTTCTTCCATCAGCCAGGAGCAAGAGATAAGTCATTCTTTGCTACACCCATCACTCCTTATTTCAACAGTTACCACACTCCTGTTACTAATGATCTATTGGTAACACCTCTAACCTCACCATTCTGAGTCCTAGTATTTTAAACTCAAAGTCTGAAGAACTTTATTTAGAACAGATTACGAAGCAGATCTAAAGTTATAACCTGGGCTCACTCCTGTTTCTTTTTAGGAATAACTCAGACAAGAGAAGTCAGACAAGAGAATTGACAATGAATCTTTCTCTTTATGGATGTTAAGTTAAAAACTTAACAGAGACTTTCATTCTTCCTATTTTGTGTATTTACTGTGGCCAGCACATGCCTCCAGATGAGTCACACAGTAACTGTGCCTAATGGTTTCTTTGAAATAATTCAGGGAATAACAAGATTTTTGGTTCACTTTCATTTCTATTGATTTTAAACTTTAAATATCTTCAGTATCATAGTCATAAAATTGCTTCCTATCACTCAAAGGAGATCTGTCATAGACACGATATTGTCTTTAGTTGAGCTCCACAACACAAATGAGCTTTGGATGCAAAAACTTAGTACCTATTCATAAAAAATCATAGGTTGCATATAGTTGTTTAGTAAGCACAGCTAGGCATACCAGTTCATATTTTGCTTAAGCAAGGATGTCATAGAACAAGTCAGGGAAAGTTTTCCACACATATCCACTAACTCTGACAAGAATAAATAATTTGCAAACACATACACTAGAATTTATTCAATAAATTGCTCCTATTTACCTGGCAACCTATTAATCCAATTTATAGCATGGCCAAAATTTCTGGTCTACCTATAATCCAATGAGTTAGACTGGAGCATGTGTTTGTTGGTTTTCATTGATGCAACTGAGGTCTGTTGCATGGCCACCAAGAGGTTCAGCTTAGCAGAACTCTTGCTTTGGGGGAGCTGCAGGCCGTGAAGAAATGTAATCCATGCTGATTCAGCTTCTCTGTTAAGGCAAAACTCAGTCCTGGCAAGACCTCCAGTGCAAGGCAGCACCAGAGGAAATGCTACAGCACAAGCACTTAGGAATATTGCCTGCTCTTGCCAGGAGAGGAAAGATTGCCCAGTGTTTTCAAACTTTTAAAGGCAGTGACAACACATAAAATCTCTTTAATGTATGCACAATATTGCGGATATGTCAGCAGTATATTGACACATACATTTTATTACTAGAAATAAAAGATTTTGTGAATAACCTTGTGTTTTGTCTTATTCTGCACTAGGCTGTTGTAACTGCAGATCATGGGTGCAATCACATAATTGCATCTCTACCATTGTAACACCTATAATTGGCTTCCCTCTTTCTTTAATCTCTCCAGTGGAAAGACAAAAGTTCAAACTATTCCATACCTGGCATTAGTCTAGAGAACATCAGTTTACAAGGGTAGAGCAAATTCCATCAGTTCTAATAGGATTAAAGGTGTTTCTGCAGTTTTCAAATCCTCAGAAGTAACACATTTTTTTTAAAGGAATAACTGGTGTTCACATAGTTGATTAACATGGTCCACCACTATCAGAATAGCTGGTAAGAAATTTAGCAGAATAATTTCACTGCATTTGCAGGAAGTATTACTTTATGATTCTGACTTACAGTAAGCCTGACATATATTAGAGGGGAATAGGTCACACTGGGACAACAGAATAGTAGGCAACAGCCTAGCTTGCATGTGTAGCTTTAGATCTAGGTCTAGTTAAGTTTTTAAGTCTCTAGACTATCTTCAGATACAGGTAGTGTCACTGTTACTACCCTATTATCTATTCCTACAATTTATCTGGTTATAATCACTCTGCAAACATCAGAGCTCACTCTGATGAACTTAAAATAGATTTGAACAGTTGCATCTGTCTTCCAGGGATAGTGATGCAAAGCATTGGCAGAAAATGTTTCTTAAATTTTCTTTTTCTTTTGAATCGCATTCCTTAATCTACTGATTTGCACACATTCCCCTCTCCCCCTATCAGCCCCCAAAAATAAAGGCCAAGTGTAAAATGACACTCTCATTCATCAGAAGCACATTCTTATTGCTGATTTACCTTCCCAGGCAGTCAAAGGGTCATTTTTAAACACAAAATTGTCGATAGGATAACGATGAACTGAGTCTACTTGTTTTAATTAGCAGCTTTTTCCACAGCAGCCTCTCCATATAAAGGACTCCCTCCACAGACCTTGAATGCCTGGCTGCTTTCTGCAGTTAAGAGAGGTGAATTTTCACTGATACAGTACATATTTTGTAGTACTGTTGCACAAGCATGGCCATTTATTCATAGCACAGTTCAATTTCCTCCCCAGTTTCTCCCGTATAAGTCTGTTCAATCCTTAATTACTTTCCCATAGTTGTTTTATATCTGTTACCAGCATCTATGCAATCTGTGCTTTAAAATATTTTTCTGAAACAGTCGTCTGGCCCCTCCTACTACATGAGATAAATATGTGAAGGCTATCTCTAGTAAACTGCCTATCACTACTACAACAAGCTTTTTCTGTGGTCACACTTCTAGACATCTTTAAAAAAGAATGCCGTCTTATGTGCAGTGTTCTACTTTAAATATAACATGCAAGGCACAGGCTCATAGTTCATTTTGATAAGGAGCAGTCCCGTGCCTTTGGCTGAATATTACCAATACACATCTCTGCAAACTGGTCGTGACAAGCACCTGGTCGTTCCTGCTTGAAAAACAAAAAAAAAAAGAAGAAAAAAATCTTGCCTTCTACCTGAGATATACTGCTTTTCATGCAATGATAGACACGAATGTCACCTTCCCTCGCAGCTCCCACCCATTCGAAAAGAGTGGGAATAATCCAAACGCTATTTTCACTACGTACCTGCCCCTGAAACTGCTTATTCACATAGAACCGAACCCACTACGCCGCAGAAGGACAGTTACAACGCAATGCTCCTTCAACTATCGGCGCAAACCACCACCAGGCTGCCGCCACTTCAGATCATCTCTCGTGAAGCAAGAATGAGAAGACAAACCGCGAAGCGAACGCGTCTCACAGGCGGAGCCCCGTCCCCCTCGCACCGCTCACTCCGGAGCTGGTGCTGCCGAACCGAACCGCGCAGCCCCGCCCGGCGGAGCCCCGGCGAGCAGGAGCCGGCGCCGCTGCCCGCTGCCGCTCACCTCCCCTTGCGCTGCGGAGCGAGCGGCGCTGCTGCTGCTCCTCCTGCTGCTGCTGCTGCTGCTGCCGGGCACCCTCCGCCGCCCGCTGCTGCTGTGGCCGCCGCTGCTGCTGCTGGCCCGGCGGCGGGCGGGGCTCGGCCGGCCCGGCCTCCCCGGGAAGGGTCCCTGGCTGCGGCAGGGCGGGGGAGGCGGCGGCCCCGCCGCGGGGGCGCGGAGCGGCGGCGGGCGAGGCGCGGGCGGCGAATGTCAATGAGGAGCCGCGGCTGCGGCTGCGGCTCTCAGGGATGAGGGGCAGGGTCTTACCGGGACTGGGAGGGGGCTTAGCCGTGACTGCGCCGAGAGGGAAGCCCGGGGTTTAGGGGGGCCGGGCTGGAGAGGTTAAATGTACGGCAGAAGCTGTCGGCAGGAATACGGTGTTACGGTGAAATTACAGGTGGCTGCCACAGCGGTTCGCTCCACACAGTCCCTTCCGCTGCGAGCAGTGGGTTGTTTGACATTCTGGCAGTGTTTTACCACTCATTTACATCGGGGCTCGCGTGCTGTCAGGGCAACTCTTACAGGTTTGAGCCTGGCTGGAAGAGACCTCCAGAGGAAATTTGCTGCTGATAAGTTAGGATTTATCGCGTAGGCAAGGGAACGCTTTATAGGGACGTTGGTGTGGCTGCTCCAAGAGAACCTGAGCCTCGGAAGCGCAGGTCTAGAAACAGCGGCAGCTCCCAGCCCAGGTCTGTTCCAGTTCAATGTCTTACCCAAAGCACTGCTGCTTCCTGAAAATTTTATGCCGTCCTTCCTCTCCTCTCATTAGCCACAATCATTATTGGTTGGTATTGTTCTGTATTAACCAATACAGGGGAAAATGCTACCTTTTTTGGTTAGCTCTTTTTGCCTCAGATTTGCTACTGCTACTATATAATCATTATCAGCCAATACAAACCTGCTACATCTGTCTTCTGATAGCATAGGCTATCTTACTTTTTATTTCTTATTACTTCAGTGGAAATGTTGAGTGTGTCAGGAATTTAGGACTTAAGAGTGCAAAGTTGTACACGGAGCTTCAGGTGTATAGAACAATCACAGGATGGTTTGGGTTGGAAAGGACCTTTAAAGGTCGTTTAGTCCATCCTCTGTGCAATGAGCAGGGACAACTTCAAATAGATCAGGCTGTTCCAAGCTCTGTCCAACACGACCTTGAATGTTACCGGGAATGGGATGTCCAGCATCTCTCTGGGGAATTTGTGTCAGTGTTTTGCCACCCTGTGAACCTACCCTCTTTTAGATTAAAACCACTACACCTCATCCCATCACAACTGGCCTGATTAAAAACTTTGTTCTTATCTTTCTTATAAGCCCCCTTTTAAACACTGAAAGGCCAAAACAAGACCTCCCCATCTGCCTGGTTGCTCAACACTTCATTCAACAGGTTTAACAAGCTTTGCTGACTTCCTTCCAATTAAAGAAAGAGTTGCTGATGGTGAAATATCACCAACATTGAAACTATGGATTATTCAGTGAGATTTTACTTTGTCAGTGCAAAACCAACCACTGCCATGTTTTTCTGGCTTTCCTTTCTTATTTCTTCTTTTGCCCAATGTTTCCTTCAAGCTGCTGCATGAATGGCTGAGTCCATGTCATACACCATCAACTAACAACATTTGCAGTTAGTTGTTTTCAATCGCAGTACAAATATTAAATAAATAGGCTAAATAGGCTAAATATGCTAATAAAGCAGTAATAGCAAAGTAACCTATTCTGACTAGGAAGTGTCACATTTTCACATTCCTGTATGATAAGCGAATAGATACGAGGAGAGTTTCCCAGACTGGCAGCCTCAATTATGTCTGCCAGTCTGTGGAAACTCTGGTTCATAGTCAAAGAGAGGAGCATCAGCCTGCCTAATCTCCCTGCTGCTTTATAAGTATAAAGTAACAGCCTGAAGTTAAATAGACCCCTTTGCTGCACACAGAGGGGGTTTGTTTGGCAGAATGTCCATCAACTCTGCCAAACTTTAAAAATATTTTTTTTCTGTAAAAGCCTTTTCTTCCATAGTGGCTTAAGAGGAATTTTTTTTTCTTTCATGAGGAAATTTTGGCTGCTAAGAAAATATTATTCCTGAGTTCACACAAACCACATATGAAAATCATGTTTCAGAGAAATAACTTGTCTGCCTATGTTTTTACATACTGAGCTTAACCATTTTAAGGCAGTTTATTTAACTAGCCAGCAACAGATAGTTACAGGTTAAAAGATGTTTTCTGAAGAAGACTAAAGTTCAGTCACTTCAGAGATCGATGCTTTGAAGAGAGGTTATGGCTTGTCTCAGACGCCAGCAAGCTTGGCTCCATTGAGGCACTGTAATTCGTAAGTAATTACTAAGGACAAACAAAAAAGATTGGAAGTTCTTTCTCACTGGAACAAAATTACTTTTGATGTTATAACTATAGTTATAAGAAATCTTCAAAATCTCATGGGACTGGTAGAAACATGTGTCATTATTAATCTTCTACCAAATAATTTTTTTTTTTAAAAATGTTCATTTTCATTTTCAAACCAAAATTAATGTAAATCTTTAGTACATAAAGAATCTAAATTGAACTGGTTTAGATATAAAGTAAAATTTATCGTTGCAAAATGAATGGAAGTTGTAAAACGGGGTGAACAAGTTCTACACAACAATTCTTTGTCCTTGAAGGATTCCTTAGCACTAAAGAGAACTGAAGCCTGATAGATGCCTATCTGCTTCAAAGGATCAGGATGAAGTGCACAAGCAACACTGAGCTGCCAACTCTCAGAACTACAGCCACGAGGAGCCCCAGATGAGTCCTCTGACTGTATCCATTTCTTCTCTCTGTAGGTCAGTCGCATGGTGGGTAACCTACACCTAGCAGGAGCTGAGAGTCTTGTAGTTTTTAAAAATGAATCAGTCTGTAACTGAAAGGAAAAACTATACACAACTTATTACACAGTATTTTTCCACCCCCTTCTTATTCTAGAAGGGCTATAATTATTCCCAGTTGTAGAAGCTGTACAGTAGTAATCCCTCTCCTCCTACATGCTTCATTAACAACTTGAGAGCTAACAGCATAATAAATTTTTAATAAATAATACTAAAATATTGTGGCACTGCTCTAAAAATAAAACCTGGAGACGAGTTGTTAAGACTATGTTCCTTAAATGCGTAAAACTATCCCTGAAATATGCAGGATTTTTTACAAAAATGTCTTGACTTATAAACATCTGTGATCATAAATACTTCTGAGAAAAGCACTGGCAGCGAATCTGTAGTATTTGAGTCACTTTTTAAAAGCAGAAAGCTTTTTACTTTTTACTATTAATCTCTTTTCCTTTCATCTCAAATTTAATTCATCTCTAGGTCTTTACAAAGTCATGAAATTATGCATGTGCCAAGAATAATGAGTTAGAATGAAAGAAGGAAGGACCTCACAAAGATTTGATAAAAGTAATGATAAAAATACTGGAAAGAGTAAGGAAAATATTATAGTTTCATTCATTCAGGACCACAACATTGGCCTGAGCCATTTTAGAAAGTTTTAAAAATAATGTTTCTAATTTTGCACCCACTGGATTAATTTTGATTGTGAATTCAAATAACAGCAGGCAGTAGAGTGTTCTTTTACTACTGTAATTTTGTATTTATGCTTATGCTTAACATTGGGTCCCTGAATGCATGCTAAAATATTTAATTACATAGTCTGGTTTTCAGGCATCCTAAATGTCTACCTGCCTATAGAAAATATAAATACCTAGCAGCTCTAGGACTGAGCACTGTTTTATTAAATGTTTATACAAGGTCCTGGAAATCCAAGGTTAAGCCTACAGACTTCAAAACCATTAAATTTCATATCTGGGGTTTTCTATCCTCTTTTGTTTCTCAGAAGCATCTCATAGTTCCCCAGATTTTGCAAAGAGAAAGGAAAGGACTGAAGAAGGAAAAGTTGATCAGCTATGGATGCCAGTCATTTACACATAAGGCATTCTCATATATTGTATGGTTTTAGGAAAGTGCTCAGAGATTTCGTTTTTATGCACATGGATTAGGATGGGCTCTCAAAAAGGCAGCTGTTACTAAGGGAAAGTTGTTCTTGTGCTGCTTGCATGTACATAACAGAAGTCGCCAAGCAGTAAATTAAGCAAGATGGAAAAGAAGAAATATATTAAAAATAAAAAATCTTCAACAAAACAAAAAAATCCTCCTAATGCTTTAAAGTTCTCCTAGAGGGAAGGAAAAACCTTAGAGTTCATAGGAGAATTCAAAAGACTTTGAGATTACTTTTCATTGGGTAGGATTGTAGCTGTTCAGGAATTTTGCAGAAGATCATGGAGTATACCACTGAAAAGAGTGAACTAAAATATAACATTTTCAAAGCTTGTAACAATTAGTTTAGATCTGTATCTAAATATTACATATCAGGCTTTGGAATGGGGATGCTTCTCTTATAAATGTGCTGAATAGAGTATTCACAACCAGACATCTTGAGGATATGTGTATACTTCACCCATACCTTAATGAAACATGGTTTTGAGGAGGAGCACTGGTAGCTGAAAGTAAATTTAGGATTATTTGGTTTTTTTGTTCAGAGCAAATAGAGTAATTCACAAAGAGAAAAGAATTTTTTTAAAAAGTCAACAAAAAAAAAACCTAGTTTAAAGTAGCCCTCACAAATAAAGAATTCCTAGTATTGCTTGAGTGATCACTACTGGTGGGAACTGTGTTCCTGAAAGGTCACCATATGACACCAGAGCAGTGGAGGCTTAAGTTCCATTTTACCATGTGTCTATCAGAGTCAGTATTAACAACGGGGGCACAGCAGGGAAGAAGCTGAGGCAATCTGGACACCAGGTGACCGATAAGACCTCCCCCCACAACATACCTAAGTCTCTTCAACAAGCCACACATATCCCATAAACTCCAGGGAGTTGTTGCAGTTGTTGTTGTTGCTGTTGTTGCTGACTTTCCCTTCATTTCAGGTGTTTCTCTAGTTTATGCCTGTATGGTCAACAGAAATGTTCCACCACCTACTTTAGGCTGAGGTGTGATATGTTCTTTCCAGCAAAGACCTCAGGTGATGTACATCTCATGGAAACTTGGTGTGGAAATTAAATTATTCTTCTTATGCCCAGC